AGATCAGGAAATAAAAAAATAAGACACACAAAATTAAAAGGTTGTTATACATCAGTGCAATCTCTCAAATCACCTTAACTATGCCCTGTAAGGCCACATGACAGCAATGAATATTTCTTAATATTTTTGATCAGAGATTAGAATACAGAGAGTTTGAAACTTTTATATTTTCTCCCAAAACAAGCATTTGGAACTGTAAGACAGGGTGAAGATTTTCTACACACCTTCATTTTCTTTTATTTTCATACTTTAACATATGTGGTTTCAGTATGATTTTAATTCTGAATTCTCTTTTGTTTAAAATTATTATTATGGGGTAATTATAAATTTTGTGCTGTATTTTAAATTAAATTGTGGATATAGTTCATCCTTAACTCTGCCTTAATGTTGCCTATGTCTTTTGAATTTGCTTCCCTTCTTAAATTGAAAGCATACATGTGACTGCTAAAAATTGAACTCAAAGATAATATTATCATGAGCTATTTCTAATCATTCCAAGAAACACACACACGTTTCATTTTATGTAAGCTTTTATAGCCAGGTTCATTGATATGCTGTGGCTGTTTTATGCTACTCTGGAGTAGAGTAAAGCAGCCAGAGTGTACTGGCTGGTTAAGCTAAATTTACAGCTCCTTTGTTGAATAAAGTAGTTCAAAGCAGTTGGAAGGCACACCCCAGTTTCCTTCTGTCTCTTGCTTCTCCCTCACTCTTCTGAACACTCACATTTGTTTCCACTACCTCCTGCATCTTCTATAGTCTGCTGTGTGGAAACACATCCCTCCTGTCCTCTGTAATCTCCAAGTACATACATGTACATCTGTGCATGTACAACACAGACTTGAGCCTCTGTCTGCTGCCTTCTTTACTGAGCACATCTGGCATAATGTGGAGCTTGTGAAAATAATTATTTGAACATTAGTAGTTGACCATTGCTCTTATTTTTTCTATAACAAAGAGAGTGGATTACATCCTCGTAAACTTGAGTTTAGAATCATCCTCTTAGAAAACAGCCACAATTTTCTGTTGCTTTCAAAGAGATTAAAGCAAATTTAACCTGAATAGGTGGAAGTAAATGATGAAAACTCTCTAGAGGCAAAGATACATCAAGCCTTGAGAATAATGGAAAAGAGCTGTGCTTTTTTGTTATCGTAGGGGAAAAGAGAAGATGCCTGCCCTTTAGAAAAAGGGCTCTCTTTCAAGAATTTTTAGCTAGGTCAGTTGTTTAACTATGAAAAACATCCATCAAACAAAACCTTTCTGGCAAAGTTAAAGGGTATGGTGATTTGATTACTGCACTTCTCTCTCATACATTTTCTATTACCTCCTTGTAGTTAACACAAGCAAACTTATTTTCTTAGTAGAAATGGAAAAGAAATGGAAGGGAAAACATATTCTTTTATACATGAAAGATCAGTCCATCTTCAAACTAGCTGCAGTCATTTAAACTTGATTTTGCACTAGAAAGAGTTCAAAAATGCAATGAAGACTCTTCCTGTAGCACTGAAACCAAAAATGGCAGACACAAACCAGTGCCATGATTTTTCCTGTTTCCCACTGGAGTCCCACCGGAGCCACTCACTCAGCATGCCTTTGAAGTGATTATTCTGTGTTACGTCTCTAACTCATCTTCAAATTCTCTGCATTTTTACATATGAAAGTTGCTTTTTCATGAAGAAATAGAAATATTTTCTTGGACAGTTTGAAGGAAGAGTGAATTGGAGTCTCATTCACTCCCAAAAAGATTTACTTAAAATAGATTTATCTAGTGATTTATGCAGTGGAAAATGACTAATATTCAGCTACCTGCATGTATATATGTGTGTATGTGTGTAAATGCTTGTACTGTTCTACAAATAGATTCTAGCCTAAGAACAATACACCTGATGTCAAATACGTCATCATATTTAATAATTGATTATGGGCAAAACTCTTGAGGCTGAAAAAAGCCTTGGTCTCTGGTTCCGTGGATATTAACATTCAGAAGGATCTCTGCTGTGAAATTTGACAGTCAATCAAGCAGTAACAAGCTACCTAGTGTCGTTGTTGCTGATACTTCAAATATGTTCTTGGTGCAATTCTAGGAAGCAACTAGGGGTCTGCTGGTGAAAAAGTGAAGGTTATGTGTCCTCCCCAGGGAGCTTTAGATGATTTCGACTCAAATTTCTCAGTTCTTAAGAACTCAAAGGATTAGGCTCCCAAGGCAGTCAGAATGCAGGACTCCTCGCCTTCTCTCCAAACAGGCTCCACCTGTCTGCAAAATTGTTCACACCTTGGTTATTTCGGAGAGGACCTTCACCAACACCCTCTCCCACCTTCGCTGGAGATTGAATACTTTGTAACCTCTCTGTCTACTGGGGAGTGGAATGAAGAGAAAACCTCTCCATTTTGTCCCTTATTTTTCTCTCATAATTGAGGAAGTCCAACATTTTCACCAGCCCTTAGTTAGGATATCCTCTGTAATTGTCTCTAAAATCAATTTATTAAAAAAAAAACATCAAGCCCATTTTCCTATCTAAAAAACTCACTGTTTATTTTCTTAAAAACTGACCTGTTGCAGGTCGAAACTCCAGAACAACAGCTGACTTGTTGGGTTTTTTTAACAACATTGCTATGATTTTCTCCAACGCTGTACTTTCCTTTCTGTCTATGGCTAAAGGACTGAACTGTGGATCTCTCTTTCCTGACTACTATCTCACAATTCTGTCCTGGCCAAACTGAGAGCACAGGCTACATCATATGTGATATTTTGGACAACAGCAGGCATAGATTCTGGCTCACAGATTAATTGCCTCTTTACTAGGAGTTGTCAATTTACCTACCATTCAGACCAGATCCACAGAACATAGCTACCTGGTCTATCCTATGTAATTTACAGATTTTTATATTCCCCCTTCAAAGCTCCATGCACTTTGTTTCATTGATCCCCACTCAAAACTGTCATACCAGTCATACCAAATCCATAGGAATGAGCACGACAGAAGGCACAAAGACTGTGGCCAGACAAAAAGCGGCTGAGGGTGTAGAGAAACATTTCCTGTCATTGCTACTCTTTTGGAGAGAAGGAAAACAGCATACCTATTGTAGTTAGTCAACAGCATCATATTCCCCCCCCAAAAAAAAAGGCAATTAGTCGTTTAAGATAACGTTGAACCTTCACATTAATCACTACATTGATCACGAGATTAAATGGATGCATTTAAAATAGCAGAATTAAATTTTGCACCATCAGCATTTCTTTTAAGGGCAATCCTAAACTTTACTTTGAATTTATCTACATTAAAAAAAATCTATAATTAAGCACCTATTTTAGTGGTATGTCTGCAAATTTTTAGTCAGTGTGTAGTAGCTTACATGAATTCTATTTTCCTGAATAGCGCTGCTTTGCTTGGGCACAGAGATTGATATTCCCTCTAACTGAAGCAGAGCAATAGGTAAAGTAGCAATATTAGCCATTCCAAACTACTTACCAGTGTACCTTAAACTAGAACTGCATCATATGTATTTGAAAAGGTATGGTTAAGCCTAGATATTTGCTGTTGGGATAGCAGAGGTACCAATTATGGTTGCAGTCTCAGTTATGTGAGTCTGTTCAACAAGCTGGGACCACCCTTCTCTGCAGCATTAGATGGCCGCTTTACCTATATCACTATTGGGACAGGTTGGATCCAAACCAAGAATTTCAGGGTGATCATACCAGATATATTACAATCAGACACTAATACCACCGATTTGAACCATCCAGTCTCCTAATTTCCTTAAAATATCGTCAAAGAGTAAGACATCTTGGACAGAGCTTGAGGCAATATTGAGGTGCAGAAAAATTAGAGGTTGCCACTGACTAATTGTTTAGTCTCTTTTATAATACAGGCAAAAGTTGTAAACGAAATTAAAACCTTTCCCACAGTAACAGGGTTATATTGTAATGTGTAAGGCTATGTCTGTGTCTAGGCTTAGATTTTTAATTCAGGTGTGCTGGCTGTCAGATCTTCTGCATATTATTTCATGGGCACAGGAGTGCTTCAGAAACAAAAAAACAAACAAATTAGTTTTAAGCATTTTGTAATATAATTTCAATAGAATATAGTCAAAAGTTATATAAGGTAAATGCAATACTTCAAACTAGAAGTCTTGAAAGTGATTGGAGATACACTCAGTTGTCTCATTGCCTTTCTCACATATCAGTTTCCACTAAATGAAACCTCTTTTCAAACATGTAGCATTTGCCCAATCTTGAGACGTGAGTGCCCACTAAACCCTTCCACTGGACTACTTTACAATGAAAGGAAATGATGTATGTAAGACAGGACTACTGAAAGTCTAAAAGAATGTGTTTTAGACTGGTTTTATCTCCTCTGGTGGCATGAAAATAAGACTAAAGATTATGATGCATCACCTATGAAAGAATAAAATTTCATTTAGAACGAGCTATTAAAAGCAAAGAGAAGTACAGCATGCAACATTTTCTAGCACTCCTACGGAGATATTTCACAATTATTTACTTTCAACCTAACAACACTTTACTGCAATTCATAGAATATCCAATCGGTCAAATCTGTGAGCATCATTATGGGACTTCTAAGTGAATGAGGAACGCTGGATTCGGACCGTAGTTCATACTGATTTCTATCTGCTCTACCTGCATGTAATAGCCATCAACATCAACACGCACAGCAATTTTTTTCTGCCTGGTATAAATGCTTACATTTAAATTTTGTACGTAGAGAAGTGAGCAAGCTTAAAGTCCTTGGCATGATATAGTAATGATAAAATGACATACCGATTAAATCAATAGACTTTTTTTTTGGTCGATTCTGAGAGGATGATCACAACAATTAAATTATCCATTTTTATTATTTACAAAGCTTTTGTATACTGGGATACCAGGATTGAGTTAGTTCACCATGGGTCATTCTCCTGTCTTTCAAGATTACATTAGCTCTTACTCATGTGCTTATGTTCTACCACCAGTTTTCATAACTTTGAAAGAAAAAGGTACCAACCTGAATGCTGTGAGATACTCAACATCACCCATAGGAGGATCCAAGCCACCTGTCCAAGCAATATTTATGTTATACCCTTCACCAGGGCCACTTCCAACCTGAAAAACAGGAATAAAGTGGCAAAAGGAGTGAAGAGGAGGAAAAAGGAGCAGGAACAGAGAGAGGGAAATGAAAAAAAAAAAAGAAAAAATTCTCAAGTGTGCTTTAGAAACAAACATCAAACAACATGTCAGATCAGCCCAGTCTTGTTTGACAAGGACTGCTCTGGGTTATGCACTTGTTCTCCACTGGTCTCCGGCTCCCAGTGGACAATTTGGTAATCTGGTGTAATTTAAAGAACCAGAGAAGGACAAGAAAATTAGGGGTAATCATGCAACGCAATTACCTGAAAGATACAAATAAAAATGGGGCTCTGAAGAAATAAACCTAACCTCATTTGGGGCTCCACTGCCGGGGAAGAAGTTGCCTTCATCATAGCGATGGAGGGAAACATACAGGATGCTGGGGTCAGCATAAAAGGCCTGCTGTGTACCGTTGCCATGGTGAACATCCTAAAGGAGAAAGAAAACAGATGACAAATGTAATAATGTCCAACTCAGTGTAAAGAGCTCAGTTCTGCTTTCTTTTACCCTCTCTCTCTCTCTCTCTGTTTCTCTCCTTCTCCCTTGCCCTCCTTTTGTCTTTGCCTTTCCCCCTCCCTTCACCACCCCATACTTCCTGAACTTTCAGGCAAATTACTCTTTAATGCACTCATTTTTTAAACTGGCTTCTAAAAATCAGGAAACCATAGCGAGCGTGCCCTGGAGACTCCAGATGAGCAGTCATTGAGAAATCCCAGTCCTTTTGTACAATTAGATATTTATACACCGGCTCTTTGTACTCCTTGCCTCAGTGATGGAATCTAGCATCCTGTTTTATGGAGGAATTTTATGACTTATTAACTGCCAACAGTTCATAACCCCTCAGGCTTAATTAACTAGCCTCATTGGCCTCTGAAGAAAGACTAATGTTTAAACTACAAACTAGTATTTTGCAGAAGGATCTATGGTTTACAGAGCTTTTTCACAATTCTTGACAGAACACTAAACATAAGTGTATTCATTGATTTGCCAAGTTCTACTATTGAGGTCAAAGGCTCTGCGACCAGCTGAGTAAATTGGCTTTCTTAAAACATTCAGTTCAGTTAGCAGTCCCTCAGCAGTTAGATCCACATCAAAAGAGATGCCAGATGCAGAAAGGGCTTCATACTTCATTTTTGCAAAATCATGACGGCAACAGTTGAAGACATAGGAATATGATCTCATTAGCTATTAAATCGTCTGGCAGATAGGATGGTGCCTTCCACAGTCAAGGAACGACCTTGGCCAGTCTCCCTATTTCAATTATATAAAGCCAGTGGAAAGAAATTCTGTCAGTAAATAAAATACTGAAAAAGACACACTGACAGTATATCTATATAACAAAGGCTGGTGATGTGGACTTTTCCTCTTGTTTAGTTTTGTTTTCACAGTTCCACTATTGTACTGTGTGGTTAGACACACAACAAATTTTACAGGTGAAAATGGAAATTCCGCTTGCCTTTCAGTAAAAGAAAACTGTGCCTTGTTTGTAAGTTTCTCCACTGGCATTTGTCAGAAGCTGAAAAGTTATAGATATCATTGATCCTCCTCCTTTAACCCATCTGTTTGAAATTTCTGATTTAAAGAAAGAATTCAGAAGGAGGACAAAGTACGCTGAATGGCAACACTAAGACCCAGACAGACTGTATTTATTTTACAAACACTATGAGGTCTGAACCAAATTTAGTAGCAGAGAAACAACAGTCACATTTTCCTCAGGATGCCTAGACTCCAGGAAGGTTCAGGTTAGGCATACATTGCCAATGGCACAGAAAGCACTGTCCTTTGCTTGCACTCTTTGCCAGCTGGTGTAGTCCATGACTTTCACCCACATTGTTCAGGACTCTCTGCTTGATGGAGTCCTACTTGTACTGCATTGTGCTTGACTTGGACCTCCTCTGGGACCTCTGTGGGGTAGTATTATAATGGTTACTTTTCTTTTCTCAGTTGAAAGTACCTGAAACCTGAGGATGAAGTTACAGCCCAACTGTGACTTAATGCCAGGGTTAATGTAACATATGTTGGAGGTGCAAGTGAGCACATACTGGTGTGAGGGTATTTGAGGTTTGAAGGCTCTGAGTGGCAAATGAAGCAAAATCTGGCACACAGACTAATCCCAGAACCCCATCAAGTTTTCAACTGTTACGTAATTAATTGGTTTACTCCAAAACAGACCGAGATCATGCTAACTTCTATGCAAGTATGGATGCTCTTGGAACGAGGGTTGCAGCAACAACAACATGAGAAGTTATGTTCGCCATATGGATATATCCGCAGAGACTATGACTAAAACCATAATAGGACTTCATTTTGTGATTTTAATTAGTCTTTCTTTTTGATGCATATCTGGGGCTTTAGATATATTCTTGCTGTAACAGTTTTCAAATGAGAAGAATAAAATAATAAATGGACATACAGAGCTCTTCTTTTTTAATTCAAATGTGAAAGCTAGCTTTCTTGTCTAAACTTTAACTACACCAAGGTTTATTCTGTTTTGAAGAGCAGTAACTTCTCTGGTTAGACAAAGGAATGCGTTGTTTAAGATTGTGGATGTTACCATATGGGAAATGTGTTCACATTCTGCCCTTACCAGCTCAAATGTATTCAGGGTATATAAGGTAGTTCAAAACTGAGATTTATTCAAATGGTGGAATGAAGAAAGAAAAGCTGATAGACAAGTCTTATATTTTAGTGTAGAAAAAAATGAATGAAAGATTAAAAATTAAAAAGTTAAGCATTTATATATGAACACATGTAGCAGCTATGAAGACTACACTCAATGTGTAACAATTTGAGTACAGTTTAGTGTGTGGGATTGAATATTACTTTTTAACATTTACATTGTCGTAACATGTATAGCTGCCAACCAGCATGGGGTCTTGCTGTGCTAGTCACTATCAAAAAAACAGCCTTAAATGTTAATTTCAAGTCTAACATTTGCAATTCAATTCTTTCCTTCAGATGCCAAAAACTCTCTGTTGGTGGATATAAAGACATCACTGTTAACATGGATTGTGATTTCCCATAGTTTGCATACACAAGAAATTTTCCACGTGAATTTTTGTACATCATTGCACTGACCACAGACCAGACTAGGGACAGGATTGCAACTGCTCCAGGAATGAAGTAATCTGTGTCAGCCATATATTTCTCGCTTTTCACCAGCTGAGTTATTCTGGCCAATGGGATAGACTCAGAGAAAGGCTGAGCATTCCCTGTCTGCTTTCCTGGGTAAGGATAGGCAGCTTCACAGGTAATCATTTGCACAGGTAAGGATTTGCACATTTAACCTTGCCTTGCAACATTGAAGCTGAATTCTGAAGTGCTTATTGGCTGAGTAGGTCAAAAGGAAGTGATATCTTTTCCCAACAAGGTGAATATGACACAGTCAAAAAGACTTATTCACAAAATGCAAACTTTGAATAGGTTTTTATTATTGACAAACAATAATAAGCATAGAGTTCACTTTTGGCCAGCATTTACAGTGGCAAAATTCAATGGACTGTAAGATTCAAATCAGCAAAGAGATACAACATACAGTGGAAGTGAATTTTTCAAAAATACCGGTTTCTTGCAATTTATAATTATGTTCCTAAGTGATAGTAGGACACTCTGAGAAATATCTAACCTACTCATATACTCCTTCTACCACTCATTATTTACTTGCCATTCCTTCTCCCACACTCCCCCTTTCTCTGCTTCTCTTCAACAGCCAGTACGCATGTTTAACTGAACAAAAGTGCTAGATGGTAAGGCCATGACTTCACAATAAGATTTAATTATGAGTGCAGATATGAACAAGATTTAGACTATTAAGCCCTGCACTTCAAAAACCCTTTAACATATTTTGTCTTTAAATCTTTTATCACCTGCAAAAAATAATTAAGTGCAGATGTAACAGGTTAGGTTTTGATGCCAGGGTTCATTTCCTGTCTATGCTTTGTCAGACACCCTATTACACCTCCTCATGAACTGTAGGAAAACAAAAATGGTGCTCATAAATCAGCATTCAACTTTCCTTGGGCTGTGCATTGGGCTGATCCTTTAAGTGCAAGGCAGAGCTCCAATTCATTATTCATAAAAATAATATAATCAACATACCAAATGTCATCTGCATTTAAATAATCCATTTGTTAAACTTATTAAGTATTATGTAAGAATGCCTTCTATTAAAATACAAGACTAATCCAATGAAGTGGATTTTTAATCACGTAGCTTTCCTTCAGGGAACCATCAAAAGCTGTCATACATGACTAGAAAACTTCTTAGAGGGAATGACCTGTTGATTTCTTTAATAATATCGAAGTTACATAACAAGTCGAATCATTGCTAGCTGGGGGAAGTGGCCAATTTTATTACCAAAGCAACAACATTCTTTAGTTATTTTAACGGTGGAAGTATCAATTCATTTAAGGACCATAAAAGTTGCCCTGATCTGTGCCTTCTTCTCATTAAATTGCAGTTAACACCATTAAAGTGAAACATAGATGTTTATGGCTTCAGTACTGCCATCCTGGCTTTAATGAGTTCCCAAAATCAGAGGAAATGCACACCTTTATTACTTGTAGGTATTAAAAGCAGGAAAGTCTGACATAGACATACAAATTCATTATCTTTTATCTAGATGCACTGAAAGTGTGATGCTTGCCAAGAATACATACCAGATCTACAATCAATATCTTGCCTATATTTAGCTTGTCTCTCAAGTATTTGGCAGTAATTGCAATCGAATTAAAAAAGCAGAACCCCCTGTGGAAAAGAGAAGAACAGAAATAAGAAGGCAAATCAGTCAGCAAAACAACTATAAATAATGTTCAGAGCATTTTAAAAATGCTATATGATCTTTGAGGCCATAAATCTGCTTCTGGGAGTACCTAGAAAGCCTTTTCAGTCATCTGCTAACAATTACAGTTCTTCAGAGACATGCACAATGCAGGTGATTGCCAGTAACCTTAGTGCTCCAAGATGGGCAATATTCCCTGGTACTTACATGGCTGTTGATTCTTCAGCATGATGGCCTGGGGGCCTTACAACAGCAAAGCCGTTCTGTAAGAACAAGATAGGTTTTCAATTATCAGCTTAAAAAAATACTTGACTCGGTGCAAAACAGAGCAGCAGGCAGAATGGACTGAAATCTATTACAGTCTCTTGAGCACATTTTCTGTCCAATCACCCTTTCATAGTACTGCCAGAAATAATATATTTGAGAACGGTGGCATATATAAATACACACGTGCACATACTTACACACACAGAGTATGATCTAAAGAGGAGGAAAAAGGCAGGATGAGAATGCTGTTGTTGTCAATTCTGCTGTCTAGAATTCACATTTAAAAGGAAGCAGAGACCATTGATCCATTCTTCATCTAAACTGATGTAATCTTGCATTGCTCCAGCTTGAGATGCTTCAAAATAAAAGTCACTTAAGGTACATATTTTATATGATTAGTCTGTAGTGACCCTACCTTCTGTATGGACTAAATGATAAATTCAGACACATACACACACGTGTAATTCCTAACGGTAGAAAAAGGATGACAATGAATATCCCATATTTCTGCAAACCATAAATTAAACTTGGGAACCTGCCACTCTTGCAAGTCTAATAGATTCCCTAAAGTCAATTTTTAACACACTTTCTGGAACTGTATATAGATTTCATGAAGTACTGCACTAGGATCAGTGATGATCAAGCAATTTTTTTCCTCTAGAGTCACTGAAGATAAAAGAAAAATGAAATTTCCCTCCTTCCAGTGTGGGTAAGGTAAAGGGAAAATGTAAAGTACTGGGAAGGTAGCTCTGTTCAGAAAACCAGATTATGTACTCAAGAACCTGTGTCTCATAACGGTGTATATCATATCAAGTTTCCCTTACAACATTCAGACTCAGGAGGAACACCATTGCATCATCAAATTTACACTTTATTTCCACTACTCAAGACAGTTAGTCTCTTCTATTCAGCTATACATTTGACATCAAATTAATTACAATTAACACATACATAAAAATAAGGAATTATAATCTGTGCATGAGTATGTCAGCCAAACTTCAAGCAGCCTTGCACAAAATATCACAAATATATGTATGGCTGCAAGACCAACCAAGCATTGTATTTTCAGAAAGGAGGGGACAAAAAGAAAAAGGATGGAATGTTTCTATATTTTAATAATCATTAGTCCAGTTTGATATACTAAATCTAGTTAAATGTCAATAGTTTAGCCTTTACTCATCTGAAACTTACATCACTAAACTTTGACACACAGGAGTGTAAATAAGGAGGAACAACATGGCAATTAATAGAGTTACATTGGTGCCTGTGAAATCTGTGGATTTACAACCCTGTGAATGTGTGTGTCTGTGCACCTGTGCAATTGTCTACCTATGTTGTTTCACTGACATTAGTTTATAAACAAATTCTGGCAGGCTATCTCATATAATTTGCTGCTAAAGGTAATCCAAGCAGCTGTGAAGTTTTGTGGAGCATTGCCAAAGTTCTATCAGACTACAGCAAACTTAAACTACAACGCAAACAGAGTACATATGTAAGAGGGGTTCTTCTGGCCATCATTTAAAGAATCTGGGGAATTTGACACCATGCTTTATTTTGCAGTAAATGCAGTAAATGTGCATATTTAAAAAAATAAAATAAAAAAAATAAAGAAATAAAAAGGCCTTATAGACTTCACTAATGTTCAGAACCAAACCAGCTTTCTACTCTTAGCTAAAACTCTCTTCCTTACCCTTCTGAGGGTTTTTTAACATTTCCTTTTCATGCAAAATATGACTCAGAGAAGAATTCTGTGACGAATTCTCTCATAGTGTTTATGAAAAAAAAATGTGCATGTTGAGAAATGTACAGACTATGAATGAAAGAATACTCAGAGAAGAGGGTATTACTAGAGAGAGTATCATGATACCCACATTTTGTTCTCTCAATATTTGCAAGAACTTGGAAAAAGCCCATGCAAGTCTTACAGCTGCCCATGCTCAGATCAGAGGTCATTATTATCTAACTTTATCAGTATTCCCAAGAGATCAATATAATTAAGATGATTATCTCTAGGAGGATTTCATGGGGCAATATAGAGACAAAAAAAATCAACACTGCTGTTTTTGACAACATGACAGTTACAGTATAGGCTTTTCTTTTCTGTTCCTCTACTCTGATAAGCTCTGATAAGCTCCGTTTTCCTATAGCTAGCTAATTTCTGCTATTAGAGCTTAAGTTAACTATTACAGTTCTCCTTGAGCATGTAGGACATTCACATCAGTGTTGTGGCCATTTTTTATATGTTATTACATTTGAAGAAGTTCAGTATTCACATGGGAAATTATCTTCTTTAAAATACAATGCCAAATGTTATATTGATGATAAAGCACATAATATAATCAAATTTTACCAAACACTGAAAATTGGTAACCACGCAGTATTAACAGCAACTTCTGTGCAATTGATAAAACACTTCATTTCTCCTGCTTTCAAACTTTGTATGAGCACAGTGTATATTAGCACAACGGAACATGAATTAATTTATTTAGGCAATATTTAAATACCAGACAGTGAGCTCAGAACAGTAGACAGAAAGGGAAAAATCTGCTTTAAAGATAGAAAGACTAACACAGAGCAATATGTTGAAAATGAAGCCAACACACATATATTCAAAGCATTTTTGTACAGAGCCTTATTTATACTAGGATACAGACACCTTTATGTGTAGACAGAACATTAAACTGACTGACAGACATGAACATTAGGAAAAGGATTCATGTCTGTGCCATTATATGATTACCTCTAGTTAAATTTGAGGATAAAGAGTAAAGACTGAATAGAAACATTCTAAAATCTGTGCATATTTGTACAACGAACAAAAAGAAGTCTGCCCAAACTCAATCTACAAAGATGATCCGTGGCAGACAGACCCACTAAGTTGCACCATTACTAAAAACTAAGGAAAAAAGTTAGTCTTTTTCCACAGTAAGCTAAGAATCCTCTTCTTTCATGACTTCAAATAGGTAGTTGGATGCTTGTTTTCAAAAGAAAAGAGGCGCACAACCACTGTGGCCTTCTTGTCTTTGGTGGTACAGTTGATTCCTTTCTGTAGTGCGCTGGGTTAGCGCGTTGGGCTACATCATGCTCGGACATCTATTATACCTCTGCCTGACCCTTTCCAAGATAAGCATTCATGACAATACCATAACACAGGTGGTTAACCCAGGGCATGGGACTCACCGTCTACAGCAGAGTTCCACTGGTGCTTCTATGACACAAGGAGGTAAAACTAGACGTTGGCAATTTTTCCCTAGAGCAATACATGGTGACTGTGACAAGGTATAAATCACTCTTCCCTTTGCTTGGCAGTGAGGACTTTGCTCTGCCTGGATTCTGAGTGGACTAAAAGCAACCCCGTCAGTCTGACACTGCAGACAAGCTGAGAAGCCTTGGTAAGAAGCGGTGCATACTAACTTCAGCCTGGTACTACTCTAGTAAAATCCTCTGGCTTTTTGTTGACACCAAGAAAAGCCTGTGCCATGCAAGAAATAGCAATGAACCCCAGCAGGCGCTCCAAGAGCACGTACTGAAGCAATAGAAGACTCCGGTTCAACTCCTTCTTGAACATGGGGATGAATTTTTAAATGTACTTCCCATACCTGTTTGCATGATTAGATTCTGTGGTCCATAAAGTAGATACTGAGACACACCTTTTCAGTCTAAGTGGGTTTTCTAAGAATAGGTTTAAAGTCTTGGTCTTCCTCAGTTCTTATTCAACTAATGAATCTTTAATTATTTCCTGCAGAACAGCAGTCCTTCAACATAGGACAAAACACACCACTGAATCTCAAATTTAAGAGTTTAAAAATTGATTCCTTCCAACTGAAAAGATAAGAAATTGAAGGTCTCCTTGTGTTTTAAGCTGTAAGCCCCTGTATGAAAGAGCCATGCCATCTATCCCAACTATTCAAGAGGCAATAGGCACAAACTGAAACAGCGGAGGCTCCATTTAAATGTAAGAAAATGCTCTTTTACTGTGAGAATGATCGAGCAATAGAACAGGTTCCTAAGAAATGTTGGGGAACCTCCATCCCTGGAGATATACAAAAGCCATGTGGACATAGATCTAGGCAACCAGCTTTAGGTTTCCCTACTTGAGGCCCTCCTGAGGTCACTTCCAACCTCAACTGTTCTGTGATTCTATTCAGAAGTACATAACCTTTGAAAACAGGCTTTCAGGAAAATGGGTGTAATCCCTAGTGATGAGCAAATTTCTTGGCAGAACTTCGTCCCGTGCACTAGCTAACTGCAGCTGCACACTTTGTTAAGGACATATTTCTTGGGAACCTCTGTGTATTTCATATGGAGACCAGGTACCTAATCCAGGGTCTGCATTCCACACTTGAAGCTCATCATCCTCCTGAAGTCAGGGGTTAAAGTTTCTATATTATTTAAATTTAAGAGATGCTCCTTACAGTGTATCTGATGGGGTGTAACCCCTGAAGTGGCCTTAGTGCCATCTTTAACTCTGCTATCTCTGGCTTAGTTAACTCCTACAATAAAAAACATCAGGGCTGCTTTAAGTCTTGGTTGCCTACAACAATCCCCTCGCAACGGGTACCCAGAAGAAGACAACAATATTCCTACCAGTGTCATTTATGCTGTAGCATGATGCTAGGCTATGCCATCCAGCAGGGAGGGTAAGCATAAAAGTGTGTGGCCTATGGCTGAGGCAATCCTCAGGTACTTGTTTAGGTCAGTTTTACAAGCCATTCATACTGCCAGAGCAGGAGCCAGAATCTGGCCCTGGGGGTCTACAAATGCAGTGAATAAGAACCCATGACTTAACAAAGCAGTATTAGCAGCATGTAGATTTGCCAAGAAAACAGTAATTGACGTGAGGGAATACCATTTTGTCTTGCAGAGGAAGATAGTAGAGGCCAAGAACACAGAAATGGACATTAAACATTTAACTCTGTGATGGAAACAAAGAGTTCCCTTTCCTGCTTTCCTGAAGGTTTTAGAAGATAGCAACAAAAAATATACACGAAAAGTTGGTGCT